CGGCGGCCGAAGATCAAGGAGAATTAATCGATTATGTAAATTTTTTTCGAAGTTATGCGAAGCGCGTGTCCCTTTTCTAGCGCGGTTGAGGTTCGTCGAAGTGTGCGCTGAATGAAGACTGATTTTGATTAGCGGGTGATTAATTTGGAAGTGATTCGCCATTAGATTATCACAGTAGGTTCATGCGTTTTGAGGTGAGTCCCAAGCTTTCAGAAAATAGCGGTTTATTGCTGGTTGCTTACGTAATCCTGCACATTAAATTTAAAATTTATTGCTTTCAAGTCAACTTTTCATTTGAATATTTTACGAAACTGAATAATTTTATTAATATGCACCAGAGGTCACCAAACTTTTTTTGTCTCGTAGATCACGTGTCAGTTTTTTCTGTTGTGGTAGGCCCCCGCCTTTCTGATATTGAATTGTTACAAATTTATTAACTTCAAATATGTTTTTGACAGCTGACACCTTGCTATTCACTTTGATAGGTTTAACTGCAGAGTGGTTAAAAAACACATTAAGTTTCACACATTTATTTATTAAAACGACACAAAATGCAAAAATATAACATAAAATAACTACACAAAAAACTAAATGCTGGGATAAGCCTGATACTTTAATAGCCAATTTTCAATATCCGGCTCCAATTTGGTTAGGTTTAACCTTAAATCTCCTCGATCGGTGATTCTAATCTTTCTTTTTTTTTTGATATGATTGCCAACTGCGTTATAACCCTTTTCCATGAGGTATGAAGATCGGAAAACTATCAAAATCTTTCTTGCAATAATCCATAATATTAATTTTATTAAAAATTTTTACTTCATGTATAATTTGTAAGTCTTTTATAAGAAAGTTTTATATAAGTACATAGGTGTTATCTGTATTATGTGAACTATGAAATTATGAATTATGTGAATTTATGAAATCCAAAATTTCTGTCACGACCTGCTTAAATGGAATCCACTCTCGTGGACCCCCATTTACATGTCATGCACCCCCATTTTTTGTTTTCCCTGACATGGACCCCTTGCAGTTCGGAGTCGACTCCTAGGGCTCAATATAGACCACTTTAGGAATCAGTGATCAGTATACACAATTTTGGTACCTCTGATTACAATATACAAGGGAGAATCAATTTGGGGGAATACTAATAGTCCAATTAACTAAGCCTTTAAATCGAAATTTTGCCAACTTGGCTGAATTTTTGATATGAGTTAGTTTAAGGTATATTATAACAATAAGTGAGAGTAATTTTTTGTTCAACCCCCGGCCAAGGGTGGAAAAAGATAAAACAAAGGGCTTTTTCAAGATAACTCAAAAAGGGTAAGAGCTAGAAAAAAAAGTCTTTCATGAAAGTTGTAAAGCAGACAATTCTACATTTTCTTATACTATTACAATTAACAGAGTTAGGGAGGCTAGAAGTTAAGGGAAGATTTCAGAAATTTAAAAAAAATCATAACAAACAGAAAAATGATTGAATTTTGTAATTTTTTTTTTCAATCTGCTCTAAAATATGTAACTTTTCTTTGCAGAGAAATAGATATATTTTTTAATTTTTAATAAGAAAGTTATAACAAAAAATCAAATTTTTAATCGTTAATTTTAATGATTTAACAAAATTAAATTTCTGAAATCTTCCCTTAACTTCTAGCCTTCCTAACTCTGTTAATTTTAATAGTACAAGAAAAAGCTAAGAGACCATGTAGAATTGTCTGCTTTACAACTTTCATGAAAAACTTTTTTTTCTAGCTCTTACCCTTTTTGAGTTATCTTGAAAAATCCCTTTGTTTTATCTTTTTCCACCCTTGGCCGGAAACTTACTCTCACTTATTGTTATAATATACCTTAAACTAACTCATATCAAAAATTCAGCCAAGTTGACAAAATTTCGATTTAAAGGCTTAGTTAATTGGACTATAAGTTTCCTTTATAAAAAATAATGAAGATAGTACTTATAATACTTTTCTCATGACGTTGCGTCTTCGAGACACATGGTGTTGGAGTTGTTAATTTGTTTTTCTTCTTAAGAAAAACATGCAATCAATTTTATTCCCAATAATAATGTAATAATGAATAATTGAAAGAAAAATATGTTAAATAGGGTTTAGCATGGAAGTTATCTTAATTATCCATGTTAGCGCATCTTCTAATAAATCCGGCAAAGTATCTTCTAGGAAATTTAAGTACTGGGTACCATTAATCGTGACAGCTGCTCAACAGGTAAATGATCACCAACAGTTCGAGGCTATACATTAATTTAAAATTCATGTTGAAAATGATACATTGCTGTTGCCTGTGGATTATAGTCACTCTATTCATAACTTTTCTATAGGTTTATTGCTCTATTTCCTAGAAAACAAGATTCGTTACACTGTAAAAAAAAATACTCAAATTCACTCAGTTTTACTCAATAACGTATCAATTTCTGTCCACACACGATTGAATGAAATTTTCACTCTATTAGTATGAGTACAACTAAAATTTTATGAGTGACTCCATATATTCTTGTTTTTAATTATCCTAATGGGGTCGATGGGAATAGACAAAGACAACGCACGACAACCATAGTACGGGGTGGAGTCAATAATGAGGACATTTACTCCGATTTAGCTACAAGTGCACCAAATACGAGTTTATCTTCAGAATTTATTTAGCAGGTACCTATATTTGAGTGAAAGTACTCAGTTCTAGTTCAAATGAGTAAATTTATCAAATTGATTAATATTGAGTAAATATGTACTCAATAATTTTATTCAATGGATTAACTCCACATCTTTTTTGCTTTCACTCACACCGATTTTTTTAGTGTAGAGTTGTGATTGCATAAAGCATTTGTTACATTTTGTTTATTCCTGAATCAGTTAGAAAATCTAGACTAGCATTATTATCCTCGTTCAAAATTTTATGGACTCTTGTATGTTAATCGTTGATTATAATTGAGACGGTGACAGAATATTGTACTAGCAATGTCAAGTTATTTTGGTTACCGCATCTATCTTAATTACATAGTTAGAAGATGCGTTTTAGTCGTCTACGAAAATCCAATAGATTTAATCGCCCACTATCACTGTGACAGAATTTTTTATAGCAAGGCCTTGTTCTACATTGTATTAGTAATGCCATGTCTAATTTTGGTTAACGCATCTGTCTTGATTACTAAGTTACAGGGGGTTCTTTAGTCTTCCACGAAATAGACCTCTAATCACACACAGTAAATCCAAGTTGTCACCCTCTGAGTCGTCGGTGATAGAATTTTCGAAGCAAGCAAGCAAGGCACTGTTCTATATTGTACTAGCAATGTCATGTCAAACTTTGGTTAACGCTTCTATCGTAATTACTAATTGTACGTTACATTAATGTAATTAATGAACAAATCAACGTTCTAGTAGCATTACTTGCTTTACATCCTATTACATAAGTCTAATTCACTCCTATGTATAACGTCCTAATAATGACTGTTCTAGGAAGAACTAATTTACTATGCTGTCACACAACTAACTGTTTTTAATACCAATTTCAGACAATACAAAACTATTTTTGAAATATGTGATCAAAATAATTGAGATGTAAGCAGAAATTCAACAAAATTGAAAATCATCAGTTACAGCTGCTAAACATAATTGTGTATGTAAGTCATGCTAATTACTGCTGAACTGCACTGTCTTAAATAAGATTTATTTCTAAAATTTATTAATAAGCTTCACTGGCGCCTCCGCCATATTTTAGACTGTGCACGAGAAATATTAAATACCGAAACAGCTGGATATACATATAGACATAATAGCCCGGGAGGCAGCGACATTATTGATGTAATTATTCCTACAAAGCTGATTTTTTCTCATTTTGTTGTTTTGATATCGTAAGTAAACGGAACGGCAGTCTACCGCGCCAATGTGGGGGCAAACGTTAGTAACAATTTTTTAAACATGTAAATAAATAATACTTAAATGCCTTATACCTACAAGGCTGAAACTTTTTAGAGTGATCAATTATACCTAAAAATACAGTATAGTGATAGTCTACCGCGTCGGAAGGGGGGCCATCAAGGGTCTACCACCCACGCAAGGTGTTGAAAAATTAACTTTTTTGACTTATTTCTACAAGGCTGAATTTTTTTTCTCAAATACTTTAGTTTATAAGAGAACCAAAAAAAAAAAGTCTACCGATCATCTAAGGGTGCAAAGCCTTGATAGACGCAATGGAATGCACGATCTCCCGAGCGCAGTCGCTGCGCCGATTCACTGTAAGCCGCTCTGAATAATAACTCATACCGGGATTAAATTACAATCTACAAAGCTGCTTTTTTGTCTATAGATATCTTACAATAATTATTGTCAAATAAACGTCTTATACCTTCGATACGAGGTGGCTAAAGCTTCGGTAGACGTGGCGAAAGTTTTTGCGCGGAAGTTGCTTAAAATTCCAAATTTATTATTAATTACAGTTTTTTGAGCTTACACCATTATTTAAACGTATGATATAGTAACAACGAGCGAGCGTTAGCGAGCGAGATTTTTGCTAGTATAATAGGTATTAACAAAAGTTCAAAAATTTTTTTTTTCAAATAACTGACCTTTTTCTTTTTTAACATTGAATAATTAAATTTATTTCACTTTTACTTATAATTTATAACAATAATACTTTTCGATAATAGCGCGCGAAATGCTTGATTTGCGATTCATCATCACATTCGTCAATTACACTCGTGCGAGAATTATTCTATCGCACTAGTATCGAACAATATTTTACGACACTTATTTATAAAATAAATGATAACAACGCAAATGTTTTTTATTACAACAATATAGTAATTATATAAAAAATAAATATATTTTTCTTATTCCTCATCGCTACTGACATTTGATTCCTCATCGCCTTCCATATCATCACTATCTTCATCCTCATCATCTTTCTGGTCACACACTCCATCATTTTCTTTAAGGTATTGACAACCGTCATTTGCAATTTCTGTATCTGCAAATAGCAATATATTATTAAATATTTATTATATTATGCTAACATAAATTCACCCCCTTTAGGGTCTGAAAGTCATTTTTTAATTGAGTTTTAGACCTCCTTAAAATGCAAATATGTGTACCTGAATCTTTATCGTTCTGTAGATCAAACGTCACATCGATCAGTGATGTTTTTGAAAGCTTACAAAACTACTAACGATAAAATCTTTCGTCAAAAGGTCAAGAGTTTCGATGCATCTGCTTTACCACCTTGTCAATCAGAGCTCCGAGAACACATACTCCGAACAGCATATATTGCACAAATTTGGAGTAATGCTCACTTAAAAGAGCCTACAACATTATCCCCACTCGACTGTGGCTGGAAAGTGGATGAGAATGCAAGATATGATTTTAATTGGTTTAGTGGCGACCAATTGCCTCAGTCAATCGATGATGTGACGTTTGATCTACAGAACGATAAAGATTCAGGTACACATATTTGCATTTTAAGGAAGTCTAAAACTCAATTAAAAAATGACTTTCAGACCCTAAAGGGGGTGAATTTATGTTAGCATAATATAATAAATATTTAATAATATATTGCTATTTGCAGATACAGAAATTGCAAATGACGGTTGTCAATACCTTAAAGAAAATGATGGAGTGTGTGACCAGAAAGATGATGAGGATGAAGATAGTGATGATATGGAAGGCGATGAGGAATCAAATGTCAGTAGCGATGAGGAATAAGAAAAATATATTTATTTTTTATATAATTACTATATTGTTGTAATAAAAAACATTTGCGTTGTTATCATTTATTTTATAAATAAGTGTCGTAAAATATTGTTCGATACTAGTGCGATAGAATAATTCTCGCACGAGTGTAATTGACGAATGTGATGATGAATCGCAAATCAAGCATTTCGCGCGCTATTATCGAAAAGTATTATTGTTATAAATTATAAGTAAAAGTGAAATAAATTTAATTATTCAATGTTAAAAAAGAAAAAGGTCAGTTATTTGAAAAAAAAAATTTTTTAACTTTTGTTAATACCTATTATACTAGCAAAAATCTCGCTCGCTAACGCTCGCTCGTTGTTACTATATCATACGTTTAAATAATGGTGTAAGCTCAAAAAATTATAATTAATAATAAATTTGGAATTTTAAGCAACTTCCGCGCAAAAACTTTCGCCACGTCTACCGAAGCTTTAGCCACCTCGTATCGAAGGTATAAGACGTTTATTTGACAATAATTATTGTAAGATATCTATAGACAAAAAAGCAGCTTTGTAGATTGTAATTTAATCCCGGTATGAGTTATTATTCAGAGCGGCTTACAGTGAATCGGCGCAGCGACTGCGCTCGGGAGATCGTGCATTCCATTGCGTCTATCAAGGCTTTGCACCCTTAGATGATCGGTAGACTGTTTTTTTTTGGTTCTCTTATAAACTAAAGTATTTGAGAAAAAAATTCAGCCTTGTAGAAATAAGTCAAAAAAGTTAATTTTTCAACACCTTGCGTGGGTGGTAGACCCTTGATGGCCCCCCTTCCGACGCGGTAGACTATCACTATACTGTATTTTTAGGTATAATTGATCACTCTAAAAAGTTTCAGCCTTGTAGGTATAAGGCATTTAAGTATTATTTATTTACATGTTTAAAAAATTGTTACTAACGTTTGCCCCCACATTGGCGCGGTAGACTGCCGTTCCGTTTACTTACGATATCAAAACAACAAAATGAGAAAAAATCAGCTTTGTAGGAATTGGTGCAAAATTTCTGTCGCTGCCTCCCGGACTATAATATTTATGTGGGTTGAATTGCGCGTCATGGCATACGTCGTTATATTGTTTTTAATGTAAATACGACGGTCATACGACCACTGTGAATTTGTCAAGCTTACGCTAAAAGTTGCCTCCCGATAAATCGTGGAACATATAGTGAAAGTGTTCGTAAGAGAGCAGTCAGAATATCGAAAAATATTTACGGACAATATTCTAGTAGCATTTTTATTTATCACGTTCTTGTTTGTTCAAAAAATGGACATTAGAGAGTTACGGCTCGTGGATCTAAAAATAGGGAGATCAGTTTTTTTACTCAAATGATTTATTTAAATCGATCTCCCTTTTGAAATGCGAAATGGTCAAAAACAGTCACACAAAAAAAAAGTTGTCTGTACTTTTCATGCGACATAATATGTTATCCGTAGTATTTTTGCCTCCTGACCACGAATCCGGTGTCAGAATTGAGCTATCACATCACAGGAATTTCCTAACCTCAAAAAACATGTCAAAAATAGTAAAAATTCACGAAAAAGTGCTAGGAAAAATACAAAATTTTTTTTTGTATATTCAAATGTTCATTTATATGATTAAGACCCCGCCGAGTGTGAATCCCTGGGCAGAATTTTCTAACCTCAAAAAACCGGGTCAATTAAGATCAGATATCAGGAATTTTCAAAAAATAACAGATTCGCGCCAAATTTGGTATACGGAGGTTTTCAGGGTCGCTGATCACGGAATATTACAATATGAATTTCGCAATTCTGACCTCGAATACGTAATCAGTGACCCCGAAATCCCCGTATACCAAATTTAGTGCGAATGTGATATTTTTTGAAAATTAGTCGGCCATTTTGAATCCGCCATCATGAATTTTGCAAAATTTACCTCGGGTTCGTGACCAGTGTCCACGAAAACCCCCGTATACTAAATTTGGCGCAAATCTATTATTTTTTGAAAATTCGTGATATCTGCCCTCAATTGACCCATTTTTTTGAGGTTAGAAAAAGAACCATCAATTCTGACCGCAGATTTGCGTTCAGCGGGGTGTTAACTATATAAATGAACATTTGAATATAGAAAAAAAAATTGTAATTTTCCTAGCACTTTTTCGTAAATTTTTGCTATTTTTGACCGGTTTTTTAAGGTTAGAAAATTCCTGAGCTGACACTGGATTTATGATCAGGGGGCAAAAATACTACGGGCAACATATGTCGCATGAAAAGTACAGACAATTTTTCTTTTTTTGTGTGCTTACTCGTTAGTTTAGTTAAACAATTTTTCTATACTGAGCGTAGTTAAAGCCTTAACCTTTCTTGTCTCATTGTATTTCTTAAAAATACCTTTATCCTTTTTGAAATTGAAAAAAGACGCTCACTTTTCGACTATTTTCATAGAGAGTAAGTTTCACACTTTCATAAAAGTAATACTCAGGTTATTGTCAATAAATGGTTGTAACACAGCAACTGCGCTTCACTTTTACTTGACTGTACTACTGTACTTTCTGCCGCGTTTGATATTTTAGGAGGCAAATATTCTTCAGCACTTGAAATATTAATTTCACTTTTCACTTCATTCATACTTAACACTTAAATAGATTAACAACAATTTTTGTTCCAATATTCACAACATTTCTCAATCCTACAGGTACGCTAAAACCTGATAAATACATACACCCTGTATGTATTTATTCTTGTATGTTGTATGTATGTTCTTGTAAAGGATATTTGTAAATAAGGGTAAGAATAAATAAACCAAGTACGAAAACTCGATTGGAGGAAATATTTTTTGCAAATAGACAATTTTTTAATAGGTACCTGCAGACTTACCACATTGATACAATGAAAACTTTTTTGGAACCGCTGGAATTTAGACATCCTTTTCATACGTTAACACTATGTCCATTAATTCTTTGTTACTAGATATTAACAGACCATTTTGGTATGTTTATTCGCAATTATTATTAATACACACACCAAAGGCACACTTTTTTTATAAAAAGAAAAATATCGTCAGTAATAACTTGATTTAAATATTTCATCATTAATAACATCGTCACACAAAAAAACGTGGTTTGTACCTTTGATTTGTTGCATCTGAATCTGAAGTGTACATACCCCCAAAATTTTGAGTATTTGGCAAAAAAATAGTGAAAAATCGCCGAAAATTACGTTAGTGAGCTGAAAAAAAATTCGAAAAAAATTATTTTCGACTTGATCAAGTGTGTTTCTTATATATTTTAATACGGCGGATTCTAGTCATAATAAAAGGCACACGTTTCGATAATGAAATCTTTTTATGCGGTATGTAACATGGAGATAATTTCAGAAGTTCTCAATAAGTTTAAACAATTTTGATTATTACTAATTTTCCACATGGTTTCACTGGTTCTCAAAATTTACCCCCTATTCTTTTACTTATAAACGCCAAATTAATGTATCGTCAGTGTTTGTTCCGTTTTTTGTGAATTCTAACCATATTTAAGAGTTTTCGAGAAAATATTGTTTGATACACAATTCCGATGTCGCTTTTGCATTCTCGAATGTTTTTATTACTCACTGGCGCTGACACACTTGCCATTTGTGAATATAAAAGAGATGTTTCGCAACATAAAATGAAAAATAACTGTTTTCTACTTCCGTAAATAAAAAAAAACATGCATAATTTCTAATGTATTTTTTTTCATGGCATATTCCTTTAAGAATTTGGAACCGTATTAACGAGTTACACCACCCCAGGATTTAGTCTAAACTGACACAAAACAGCGGTAATTAAATTTAGTGGCAGTTTGTGTAGCTTTTATTAAGTACTTCCTTTTAGATTAGAGTCAAACTAGCGCATTTACACCCGCCTACTAAAAATAGCGCACATCGACGCCCATAGAGACATTAATTAAAAATCAATCTGTCACCGACGGAGCACTAATTGAGTGGCGCTTTGGCGTTGTCACGCGTCCCCGTATCAGCGGCCCAATCGAGTATCTAATAGGGGCTTATCAGGATTAGTTCCGGGCAGGGCATCAGACAGAATATAATTTATTGCAAATTAAAATCCTGGGATGCTATGAACTGCGGATAATGCGGCGTTTCCTCCGCGCACGAATGGACTGGAAATGGTTTGATCCTATCGCGGACAATAGGATAATATCGACGACGCCATCAAATTGAAAAATCAGTCGGATAAAATGAATAGCTAGCTACAATACGGTACAGTACCTGTTAAAAATGTCAAGTGATTTTAATTGTTTTTGGAGTGTTTCTGGTCATGGCCAATTTAATAACAAGTCTGATACGGGAAAAACTGCCCAAAAAATAGAAAATTGCAAATAGGTATCTCTAAAAGTTATAACGGCAACCCTAAGAATGGCTTGAAAAGAAATTTAAATCTGTATGCGACAGAGTAAAAAAATACACGATGTTTCGTTTAAGTTAACAAAGTTTTAGCTGTTCGAAGTTATCAAAATGTAACAGTAAAAATGGAACACCTAGTATTAAATGTTTTAATTTGTTGGTATACCATAATTTAGTGTTACCTATGCCCTTTACAGATACCAAGAATCCACTTGATATCACATTCCTGAAAAAAGTTACAAGCATCTCCGCGGACCCTTGCATCTGTCAAATTTTTTCTTTAAAAATTAATATCTCAAAACCTATAACCCCTAAGTATAGGGAATATTTAATAAAGTGACTCGCAAATTTCACGTAGAATCCGAAAACGTAATAATAATCATAATAATAATAATAGCTTTATTTGCCCAACAGTGTACAAGCACCATTTACAGAGCAAAATCCCATATAGTGGTGACTTCAGACGGATATTGGTTCTCGCTCTAAACATACGAAAAGTAATACCTTGCCTAGAATGATACCTAGTCATATTAAAAGCAATTTGCCCTAAAAGTTCAGGACAATCGATCTCATTATGCAGCAGTCTATACAAAAACTTTTCTTCTTAACTCTATAGAATCAACATTAAACCTATTTGTTAAACAGTTATAATCTATTCCTCTTACAGGATATTG